TAAGTAGGTGTGTTTCAAATGGAAAATCCATAAATGCCAGGAACTAGTAAGGGGCCATGAGGGAGGGGGATACATGAGAGGGAAGATAGGATGCTGTGATATAAAGGGGGAAGGAGAAATAAAGGAATAGAAAGGGTTAAATGTGTTGGGGCATGGGAGGGCACAGTAGAGTAAGGAGTATAGGGTAGGAGAACTAACACTAAGGGCCTTTGAAAAGTCATATGGAAACCTCCTACTATAGAAACATCTTAAGTATACACATACACAATATAAAGAGTTTAAGTTACCATATAATGGGACAATGTGCCTACCAGATACCACAGGCTAGAAAATATAAAGTCCAATGCCAGCAATGAGTTCCCTTTTTAATTTGTTGACCAGGGAGGTTCCATAGACCCTCAAAAAATATTGGCTATTGCCATTGATCTTGGTTATTGCCAGAGCTTTCTGAAGATACAGAGTCATAGAACAAACATGGAGAAATCAAGCTAGTACTGACCTCTAAGCTTCAATTCATCTCTGTTGGATAGCTTTCATAGTGCTGGAAGGTGTTATATATGCTTCTGGAAGTGAAAAGTAACCATCAACATTACCCACCTGTGAACCCTACAAGCTACAATAACAACCAGCCTGAAAGAGAAGCCCAGTGGTACAATAGTGGCACAAACGCTATGGGAGTAACCAACTACTTTCTGGTTGGATTTAAGGCATGTGCCACAAGATGGATCCCATGTCTGACACTGTTATCAGGACCAAGAACCTGTGGCTAGACAGGTCACCAGCCATAGGGGAGTCTCACTACTATTATCCTGGTAAAGCGATATAGTATTAAACCAACTCCTAATGACTTATTATTATACCCATAGATTAGTACATCTCTGTTTTCAGCAGGGAAACTTCTCTTTTCAGCAGATGTTGATTAACACAGAGTGCTTAGCCCTAAATGGGACACCTACCTATATCACATCTTTTCTTCTCAAGGCTCAGGAATTATTGCAGAAGAGGGGACAGAAAGATGATAAAAGCCAAGGTCATGAATGAGTACAAGGAAACTGGGCCTTCCAGAAACAATAGGGCAATTGCACATATGAATTCACAATGTTTATGACAGCATACATACAAGCCCAAGCCAGCATGGATGGGGAGAAATGAGCAAGAAGCCCCAGCCCTGCCTGAGGAACCATTGCAAATTGAGAGCTGCTGGGAGAGGGAGAGTCAGTTTTCCTTAAGGGTGTGATACTGGGTAGGTTAACCCACTCCAGAGGATGGACCCACACCCAAGAGCATTTGGGGAACGAACACAAATTAGACTTAATGGGCCTTTAAAAAAAAAAGTAATGGAGGGGCTGGAAAGATTGTTCAGCAGTTAAAAGCACTGACTGCTCTTGCAGAGGACCCGAGTTTGGTTTGCAGCATCCACACGATGGCTAACAACCATCTGTAACTCCAGTTCCAAGGGATCCAATGCTCTCTTCTGTCCTCCATGTGCACTACATGACATGGGTATACTAACATACATGCAGGCAATGCACTCATACACATAAAAGCAATAAAATATTTCTTAAAATAATAGAGGACATGAAGTCAGGGACAGGGAGTCCAGTAAGGTGAGGGTGGAGATGGGGAGGGGTCTGAAAGTGCTCAAAATACGTTGTATGACATTTTCAAATAATCAACAAAAATCTTTTTTTAAAAAAAGATTGGCTTGTCTCCCTTAGCACAGTGTCCTCTAGGTTCAGTCACATTGCCATACACACTAGCTGTAGACAGAGGCAGATATCTGAGCTCCTGTTTTCAGATTTCAGGTATTCAATCAGCATCTCTGGAATCAGATCCAGCCACCAGTCTCTTTAAAAGCCATCAGATCCAACTCATCAGTTTCCATACAGGTAGCATGTGGATATAATCCCAGCCCTCAGGATGCTGAGGCAGAATTGCCAGTTCAAGGCCTCCACAGCAACATAGTGATTTGCAAACAAACCTGGGCTACATAACAAAAATCCTGCTTCAAAGATTAAGTCATTTTCTTGAGATGAGGCTATAGCACTTGCCTGGCATGTGTGATGCCTAGTTTTGTTTACCAATACTGGGGTGGGTGGAGCTTCCCAAAGGGAGTAATCATGCCAGGATTGTGAACTCCAGCCTGGACCTTTAAGCAACAGACACATTGAATGATTTGGGGACTGATCTAGAAAAGAAGAGGTACTTGCCTTCCCCCTTTTGACCTCTGACCTCTGCTTTTGTCCCCTCCAAAACAATGGATCGCATACATTTTCTTCCCATTTCTGCTCAGAAACAATGCAAGGGACCACCAGGCAAGAGAGAGACTTTCAGTTCAGTGAGAAACAAATATCAAAGAATAGACAAAATGCAAATCAACTTAAATTTGTTTTAATCAATAGCACGACAAGAACTTGCAGTGCGGATGCGACTCCAATTTCATGGAGATGGGGGGCACATGTTTATAAAGGCTTTAGAAAATGCAGGTTTTCCTGTATCTTGGATAACACTCCAGCAACATCTGATGTTCCCCAGAGGCATTTTAACACTTTCTAAACCGACCAGTGTGTCTTGGAGCCACAGCTTTACACCAGCCCAGGGCCAGGCATAGTTCAGAGAAGGGAGGTGACCCCAGCATTCCAGGAGCTGCCTGGCTAATGACAGGACATGGGTATATGTAGAAAGGAAAAAAATGAGGACATATATCTTAATACATAAACTCTGGAAATCTAGGTACCTCAAACCCTTGCTTCATTATGTATGTTTTTTAATGTCTTTGCTTCCCTTTCCACCCTGTAAACAGGACATGAGGACAGCACAGAACATAAGGGGGCTTGCCAAAAAGCTCCACAGTCAGGATAAATAATATTTATATGCAGTCACTCAGACATCAAAATTATTGTTAAAATGAACACACTATCAGCATTTTAGACCAGGTCAGCGTCAGGACCTATGCTGACTTCCCTAGGCTTCACTTACTTTTTGCTGAGCTCTGCCCTGATGTCAATCAACTTTATCCTTGTCAATGACCTATGGACTATAGTAAGTGGATTTAGTTTTTTGAAACACTGCATTAGAGTACAATATATTTTATCACTAAGCTTTTCAAACTACCTTAGATGTCTTATCCTTGTCTTGGCCCCACTACAAAGTCTCTGTTAAAAGAGCTGTCACATAAAAGACAGGATTCACAATTAAACTCGGATTTCAGATGAAGCATAATCCTTAAGAGATGCTTATGTAAAAATATCTATTCATCTGAAATCCATAATGGGATATCATGGGTTTTCATTTCCTAAGTCTGGCAGCCCTGTTTGAAAAGTGTCAAGACAGTATCCGTTTCCACAACAACATACCCCACCCATGTACACATACACTTTGCATACTAAGAGAAACCACACTCCTCGCCATTCCCACAGTATTTCCACAGGCTGCTCTTCCTTGATCCTTCCTGCAGCCTCTTGCCTTGTAGCTTCCATCGCTGAGCCTGACTTCAGCTGTCAGACCTTCCTCAGCCTCGTAGGTCAGATTCTGGCACACAGCTGATTTCCCATTGGTATAAAGGTCTCACGGGTTGGTTGATGTAGCCCCGTGGGCCTCTCACACCACCCTCAGTTCGTCCACACTCAGCCACAGTCCTCTTTCCTCTCCTGGGCTTTCAGCATCTGTCTTGGATGCAGAATTCTTATCAGTTGGATTTGAGTCAAGAGAGTAGTGGATAAACCTCCTAGAGCAAGCGACTTGGCCATCAAAGGGTTAATGGTGAACCATATATGGAGGGGGTGTTTCTAGCCTGGGGTGATGATGTAGAGCAAGATGCAGTAGAAGTCAAGTTCAGAAGGGCAAGTGGAGCCAGAAGAAGGCTCTGATGTCAACATTCAGAAGGTTCCCAGCAGTTGAGGCCACATGTCCAAGAATGGATAGTGTGAAGGTTCATCCTCATGGCCAATCTGACTACACTTAGAGTCATCTAGGAAACACATGTCTGGGTGTGCCTGTGAGGTTTAACCAAGTGGGAAGACCCACCCTGAATATGGGAAGTACCATCCCATGGGCCGAATAAAAAGGAAAAAGGAGCAAAGAGCTGAGTACCAGCGTTCACCTTTCTCTCCTTCCTGAGTGTGGATGTAATGTGACTGACTGGTCATCTCACACTCCTGCCACCACAGCTAAGACTATTCTTGCCATTACACCTTCCCTACCATCATGGACTATACCCTCCAACTGTGAGCCAAATAACCCTTCCTCCCTTAAATTGTTTCTTGCCAGGTATCTGGTCACAGCAATGAGACAGGTAACTAATCTGTGTGGTGCTGTGACTGTTCAAACTCTTAACGCCAAATGGAACTAGTGGACAAAAGAGGCAAGACTTGACGGGGAGGAAGAGAAGAGTAGGGAAGGAGTAGGGTCTGCTGGACAACATGGGGTCATACCTTGTCCAAGAAGGGAGGTAAATCGACTTAGCTTGGAGGCAGAACACCTCTCCCTCTGTCCTGCCTTGAGACAGACCAGGGGGCCTCTAGCTCTCTCATACACTACCCAAGTTCTGCCAATCAACAGGGTTGGTTGATGTAGCCCCCTGGGCCTCTCATGCCACCCTCACTCAATAATTCCCTTGGATACTTGTCAGACAGTTCCAATACCTGTTCATCATCTTAGAATGTCAGCCATGAGCTGAGGATTTGGTGCTTTCAAAGTTCCCTGTGGGGTTCTTGTGCACCCTACATCCAACCTCAGAAAGAAAACTTGTGCCAGGAGAGGAAAGGCAATGGAAGCTTGGCCCTATTTAACAAGACACTTCCCTTCATGGAGGCTCCGTTCACTAGAATTTAGGGCAAGGCCCCAGGGACAGGTGATCATTCTGGGAAACAGACCTGGCAGAGGGGGATATAATAAGTTGACCAGGGCAAGCAGAGCTGTGAACATTCCACAGACTTGTTTATACAGAGCTTGAAGAACCTGGATAGACTCCATGTCAAAGTGGGCATGATGAACCAGAAGAAAGTGGTCCTGTGCTCAGCCGTATCTCTCTCAGGAGGCCTCAGTTGCAGAGCTGAGGTGATGGATCCTGCCTTATATCTCACTCTCTTCCAGAACCTCCTCCATAGTGTTGGCCAGGGTGAAATCCCCATCACTGCTCTCAGACAGGCTGCTGCCCCGGGGCCAAGCTCCATGGCCCCTGTGAGGCCTGGCACCCAGCTCCCTCAGGGCCTCTGATTCCAGATTCGAGCTGCCAGATGAAGTCTGCAACTTCTGAAGTGTCTCAGCACCCTCTCTCTCCGACAGCTTCTTGGGACATTTCCCTAGGAACCGGAAGTTCTTCCCCAAGACACAGGCTCTGCAGCCCCAGTGACGAGCTAGCAAAAAGCGGCCCCAGGACTTGCGCAGCTCCGCCTTCACCTGGCAGGTGAGACAAAGGTGGGGTAACCATCTTGAAATCATTTACCTACATGTCCATTCAGCAGATGTTTATTGAGTGACTACTTAGGTCTACATTGGGGAAATCAGCATATCAGATGATGATGATACTGTGAACCATTAGAAGTTGAGCAGTGTGATAAGGACTGTCGATGGACATTAGAGGACACCATAGTTTGGGACTAGGCTCCTGTACTGAGTTCCAACACACCAGACTAAAAATCAAAATGGAGTCACTCATGCTAAATTTCTGCCTTACCAAAGCAAACTAAATATGTGACTTTCAGGAGCAAATAACAAATTTCCCAAATAGGCTAGTTTCAGCCAGCATGGTAATTAATGAGGCTCCTCCCACCTTAGCCCTTACATAAAAAGGTTATCTAGAGTAATATCATGTTCACTGGTCATTTCTGTCTGAATCTCTGTCCCCATCTTACAAGAAAAAATAACTCGAAGCACTCAATCTTTTTCGGTCTTCTTTCGGCTTCTTTTTCCCGTTTCTATCTATAAAAACAAGCCCCTCAGAGCTGGAGAGATGGCTCAGCAGTCCAAAGTACTGGCTGCTCTTGCAGAAGACCTGGGTTCAATTCCCAGAACCAACATAGTGGCTAACAACCATCTGTAACTCCAGTTCTGGGGTATCCGACACCCTCTTCTGACCTCCGAGGGCACTGCACTACACAGGTGCACTTACACACATGCAGACAATATACTAATACACATAAAATAAAAATAATAAAATATTTTTAAAACCCTCTTCTTAGCTTATTGGAACATTTATTCTGTTTCACAGAATGAAATATAGCCTGGCTCTAGAATTATAAGTGAAGCAAGTTAAAATCTTCTACTGCTGTCATTTCTGCCTTTTGACAGGAGACTAAAACCTTGAGATACGGTGTTCAGGAATGGGCTTTCATGGTGGTGTTTGAATTTAAACCGGCCTAATGGATAAGGCGTTCCCTGTGAAAACACAGAAGTAGTAGCAAGCAAAATGGAAAAGGGGTTTGCTGTCTAGAGTCTGAAATTCTATGGAGGAGGCACCCACTGGAATGGAGGAAGGGGAGGATGAAAGGGGGCTGGAAACTATTGACTCCTAAAAACATGAGAAGATACCTGTTCTGATCTCTGGCTCTCACCCCTTTAAGCCTTGTCTTAGGTACTATGGTTTGGGCAAAGCTCTTACACTGAAGGCTTAGTTTCCCACTTTGGCACTAAGGAGAGCTGGTAGACGCTTTAAGAGGTGAAACCTGGGCTGGAGATATGCTCAGTGGTTAAGAGAGCATGCTGCTCTTCCAGAGGACCCAAGTTCAGTTCCCAGTACCCACGTCAGGGCTCCACTGCTTATAATTCTAGCTCCAGGGGACCCAACACGCTCCATGGACAAATGCACACATGAGTACTTACAGATAAATAGATATAATTTTAAATATATATATTCTTTTGAAGGTGAGGCCTAATGGAAAGTAGTTAGGTTACTAGGGGTGTTCTTGGGGAGAATATTGGGGCACTGGCATATTCATTCTCTTTCTCACTCGCTCACTCTCTTGCTCTCTCACTCTCTGTCTCTCTCTCTCTCCCCTATTTCTATCTCCTCCATGAGTGATCAGTTCATTCCACCATATGCATTCCCATCATTACAAACTCTCTCACCACAAGCCCAAACGCCATGGATCGAAACCTCTGAAGCCATGAACCAAAATCAACCTTTCTTTCTTTCTAAGTTGATAAGCTCAGGTGTTTGTTGCAGTAACAGAAAGCTGACTAATATACCATGGTATAGCTCCTGGGTGTTGAGTTTTTACTTTGCTCTCAGCATGCCTAGGGCATTAGGGTGAAGTAAGATCAGTTGTTATTCTCATTTTCACAGATGAGAAAATCAAAGCTAAATAACTAACCCCCAGAGCTTCTAAGTAGTCAGCTAAGGTTGAGATGCAGATTGGAGTCCAAGTCCACAGTTGTCTCTTCCATCGTACTTTAATCCTAGCACATCTCCAACAGGGTGAGGACTGAGTTCTGAGCTGCTCACACCTATTTGACATCTTTTCTCATGTATTTAAGTTGCTGCCTGTTCTCTCTAATGGGTGTTCACAGTAAAAAATTGACCCAATACATGTGGGTTACAGTTGCACCATCACACAAACAGATACCCCCAGGGAGAGTAGGGTTCCAGGCCCTGCCCACCAGAAGCTGGGATGACAGCACAACATCATACCTCTCCATTGGCAAAGCAGTACTGCAAGGCCACCAGGAATCCCTGCAATGAAAAGGAAGACATGACATGAACTTTGACTTGGTGGATGTATGTGAGTCAGGATCAGTGTCCAAGGAACCCCTGGAAGAGGAGCTCCAATGCATTGCTTACACGAACCGGAGTCAGTTGTTCTGGTCATGCCATCCTATGCTTCCATGTCATCTCCTCTTACCTTGATAGCCACCCACCCACAACAGCCTAGATGATCTCCCATGTGCTCATGGTGACATACGTCAATAATGATTAATCTCTAAGACCCTAGATTATTCATTTGATTATAGCAATACAGGTGTACTGAATAACTTCAATTGTAAACTTGACATACCTGTCTAGAGGAAGCCTCAACTGAAGAATTGATTCCATTGGAATGGCCTGTGGCCAAGTCTGTGGGGCATTTTCTTGATTGTTGTATGATATGGGAGGCCCAGCCCACTGCGGGAGATGTCTCCCCTGGGCAGGTGGGCCTATGTTATATAAGAAAGCAGGCTGAACACAAGCTAGGAGAGCAAGTCAATAAGCAGCATTCCTCCATGGTCTGTGCTTCAGCTCCTGCCTCCAGGTTCCAGCCCTGAGTTCTTACCCTGGCTTCCCTCGGTGATGAGCTGTGACCTGGGAGATGTAAGATAAAATAAACCCTTTCCTCCCCAACATGGTTTTGGTCAGTGTTTTTACCACTGCAATTAGAAAGTAACTAGGATACAGGGTAAGGCAACTGTCCCATTTCTACCTGACCATGGTGGTCATTGACTAATTCACTTCACCACACTTGTATTCTATCCCTCCCTTACTTCCTGGGCTTCTGACACAGTTGTCAATCATGTGATTCCCATGTTTTAGGTTGCCATCACCATAATAACTGACCCAAACAGGCTCTGTGATGCAAGGAAGGCCAATCTTTTCACTAGAAAAAGAGAGACTGTATTCTCTTCCCTGGGTTTGCCATAATAATTATAATTGTAGACAATGTAAGCTCAGAGGTAGGGCTGGCATCTTCCCAGTGACATGGAGAGAGCCTTACTGGGCATGAAGCCAACAACAGAGGCCAGAGATCATGAGAGATTTTTCATGGATTGTTTGAGGACCTACATCCAGTTATGCCTGGTCCTAAAACTTTCATTTAAGTGACTTAATAAACACCCTTTTTTCTTGTCAGACTATTTCTTTTGAAATGATGGAGTATTTCCCACCAGTGGTTTCTCATCACACTTAGCATAAAATAAACTCTCGTGGAAGGTGATCTGGGCTCTGGGCCTCTGTGGTGCTGACTTCATCTTATGCCCTGTTTTCCCTCAGCTACTACAGTCCAGCCACACGGGCCTTTGGGTTCCTCTAGGATATCAAGCTCATGTGTTAGGTGTCTATTGTGTACATCTTAGTGGACCAAAGTAATAAAGATTTATCATCTCACATTCTGTGGCCAAGGATGTGTTTAAGTAGACACAGGTTTTTGTCTTATGTTGTTTTTTTTCTTGAAACAAGGTCTTGATGTGTAACCCAGATGGACCTTGACCATATGAACCTCCTACCTCAGCCTCCTGAGTGCTGGGATTATAAGAGTGTGCCACCAAACCTAGCTCAGCATCACCCTCAAGTGCCAGTCAAGGTGTTGGTTTGAACTACAGTGATCTGAGCATTTGACTTTTTTATGGTAATTTATGTGGCTGGTGAGCTGGTCCTGGAAGCTCTGATTGTACTACAATAGACTACAAGTGCATTTGAATGTATTTTTTTAATTTTAAGATTTACTTATTTTTATTTACATGTATGTACATACATGTACATCCAAGTGCTCATAGAAGCCAACAGAGGGTGTCAGATCCCCTGGAGCTAGAGGACTGTAAGCTGCCTGACATGGGTGTTAGGAACCAAACTCTGGTCCCTTGCAAGAGCAGCAATCAGTCCTAACTACTGAGCCATCTCTCCAATCCCCAAATCATTATTTTAAAAATCAACTCCCATATTAAAAGTTTTCTGGTTACAAGCTAAAATATAACCACAGTCATAGAAATGAAGAGGTAGGATTTCCTCTTCACATAATAGTGGTTATTTATTAACTAATATTTAAAAATCTTGAAGAATATGTCCCAGGCAAAAATATTTGTGTTCAGATTCCCTGTCTTCACTCAGCTGGAAGACAGTGGGTCTCAGTCTCTGTCCACAGAGCTTCTTGAGTGACTTGCCTCAGTAGCTGGCTTCTTTAGAGGGGTGAGCGAGGCAGAAACTGAGGCTGCTTTTGTTATCTAGACTCTGAAGTCCTGCATCATCATGTCCACAAAACCTAATGGTGACCCAGGTCACGCCCATTCACCATGGCCAGGGACAAACAAGGACATGGACAGCATTCAGGGCCATCTGGGAGACCAGCTACCACAGCTTGCTTCTTCCTCACGTCCCTTCACACTTTCTGTTTCCTGGGATGTTCTTTCCTCAAAGTTCTGCTTAACTGACTTTTCAAAATTAGAGCTCAGCTCAAAAATCACCACCAAGAGGTCTTGGTAGGCCACCCAGCACTGGGCGACCACTATAGTCTCTGTCACAGTGGTTCTCTTTGTATGCTCAGCACACCATGGCTTTATTGTTACTTATTTGTATTTGTCTGCTCAGTTATCTACCTCCCTCTGTGTCACTCAAAATGAAAACAGCATCCTCTTCTAGACCTCACAGCACCTGAAAACATGGACATAACAGAAGTGCAGTGAGTATTTGTTGAGTGAATAAATGAATGAATGAGTTGGGTTTCTGTCACTTAAGACTAAGGGTTTTGCCTTGTATGCTATTCATCCATTTTTGAACTATGATGATATGAGTTATTTTCTAAGGTATTTAGAATTGTGGATACAAGGATTATAATGAAAACAACAGACCATCATGTAATACATTTTTACAATGGGGAATTGTCAGTAAAGAAACAACCTCTTGAATTTGGACAGTTTTTTCTGGATTTACTGTTAAACTGCCAGAGGTCTGAAAGCAGAGACCCTTTAGTTAATGTTCATCCCCAGTGCTTCTCCATGGTTATATTATTTTTCATTTGTCAAAGAGCCACCTGTGATAACTGGCATGTCCTGGCTTTCTCTAACTGATGTGAGAGTCTGCGGAATTTGGGTTTTGTGTCTCACATATTAGAAGAGGAGATGTGTATAGTATATATAGATGTGTATATAGACCCAAGTACTTGAGTGTTCGTGGGGAGAATTCTCAATATGCCAAGCCTCACAGGGAAAGGGTACATCTCCAACTAAAAGGTGAGAGTCCTAATGACAGGCTGACTCTTCATATCTTATTTATTTGTTGTTTCTTTGTTTGCCAGATGAGTTCTCACAATGTAGTTCCTGCTGGTCTGACACTCACAGGCCTCCCACCTCAATATGCCAAATCTTGATATTATAGTCGTGTGCTACCATGCTCAGCTTTCCCTTATCTTTTGATAAAATATGACCTCAGGAGAAAATTTTTCCTGCTTTTCCCTCTATAGGCCTCTGTCAGCAGGTCCCTTCTTAAGCAAGGCTAGGAATCTCCAGGCTCAGATACACGCAAGAATGTTATTTCTCTTTCCTTGTTCACCTAAAGAGTCCATGGCCAGGGCATCTGGATGGGAGTTGATGGTGCCAGTTAATCTTTTCTACCCATGCAATCTCGTGAGAGGTTCACAGCCTCCTAGTGGGGTTGGCAGGAAAGGTAATATTTGCCTCAGGGCACGTGATATAAGAACTAGCTCTTGGCATGCCAGAATTCTCACTAATTAGTTAGCTAAAATGAGATTCCACATGACAAATGTATCTTCACATCACTGTTTTGGGAACAACCTACAGTCTGGATCCCATTCCTGATAAAGCAAATGTGAAGGGAGCAGGTCCCACAGAACATGTGATCTCCCTTCACATGTCCCCAGCATGGGATTGTCTCTCCAAAGAACTGCCAACAAGAGGCTAGTGACATAGTCTGAGCAACAAACCTCTCTTCAGAGGTTAGGGTCCTCCCAGGCCATGAGGAAAGGAAGCTGTAGGGACTAAAGTCTGCTCTTGCTGATTCCTTGGTTAAAGCCATTAAGATAGGACATATCAACGGGCCCCCTTTATCTGCCCATCCAGGTGCTCATCTCTATTTAGTGAGATGGACAGGAGCGGTGTGAGGTACATAGAAGAGCAGGGGCTCTGTCTACAGACAACCCCTCTAAGCACTTTCTGGCTCAATCCTGGAACAGAACACACTGTGGCGTCTCTATGATGCCTCAACTTCCTCGATGGCACAAGCTGGTGAACAGAGCTTCTGTGGGTGGCAGGACCATGATCCATTGTGAGCAGCTACTCTCTAGAGAGAGCCCCAACCTGTGACTCTGTTTACCAGCACAATGTGATGCAAACATCATTCTGGATAGGTATGAACTTCTGAGCCTCTTAGAGGCCTGAAGAGGACTGGAGATTTCCACTTGCTCCCTCTTGGAACATTTGCTCTCCAGTGCTTCAAGAACTCAGCTGTGAGATGCTCAAGATACATAGAAAACGGAGGCTCCCTGCTGTGTGGTCCTAGCTGAGCTCTTGGCCAACAGCTAGCATCAAAATGTAGTCATGTAAATGAGTCATTAAGGACATTCCAACTTAATAAAGCCTTCAGATGTGTGTGGATCCAGTCTAAAATTACATGTATCAAAAAAGACCACACCTACTGAGCCCAGACAGCCTAGCTTAGGAATCATTAAAGGTAATAAGATGATTGTTGCTTTGAGCCAAGAAGTTTTGAAGTGGTTTATTACATAGCTAATGGATGACCAGAGCATCCTCCAGGCCTGAAGAGTCTGATAAGTAAGCTTTCCTCCTTAGAAATTTGGCCCCCAACCCTCCATATGAATGTCTGGTCCTCAATTTACCTTGGATGTGTGAGATCAGGTGATTCATGGCTCATATTAACCAGTCATGTCCTCCAAGAGAGAAAAAAAAGGCCACCGAATACTACTAACATAACAGCTGGAGGATTTTGCTTTCATTTTGTTTTTCTATTTCAAGATTATCTTTCACAGGCGATTAAAGTCAAGCAACCTAGGAAATTCAAATTACTAACTTTTAGCTTCTGAAATCGACCAAAAGATTGAAATAAATTAAACATGTTTCCATGATGAAAAGGAAAAAAAATCACCAGTGGGTCTCTCCTCAAAATCACAGAGAATTTAGCTCCAAATGGAGGGAAAGGAGACCACTGTCCAGCTGACATACCCAACCAGGCTGTTTGCTTGGCCACTGGTGAGCATGCAGGGGGCACATTTTCTTTGCTCTCTATACCGAATCTCACAACCTGACCCCCACCTGGTGACAGGCTCAAAGACTGGGGTATAGAGAACTTTGCGTCTCCTGTTAACAATCCTTACAAGACAAGCACGACACACTATGTGATGTGACAGATACAGGAAGGATCTTAACCTCCAGATAAAAATCTCATCTTTGACTTCATTAGCATGCGCAAATTCTTTATACCTTAGTTTTATTGTCTTTGGGATGGATATAATAACTTCTCATTCACGAAGGCATTGTAAAAATTGAAAGAATTTCATTTTAAACGGACTTTCGATGTGCTGTTTTAATTCCTTTGGTGGTGTTTTTCTACATTTTAGTTATTTTCTGAGCATGTGTCCTAGGGATTACAGCATGCATCTTAACTTGTCATGATCTATTTCATATTAATGCTAACTTCATTCTGGTAAAATATGAATTTCTTTAATATATCTCCGTTTATTCATTTCTTTCTTATGCTATTCTTTTCAATGCTATTTTTTAAATTTCTATTTAATTTTATATGTATGAGTGTTTTGCCTGCATGTATATAGGTATATCATGTGCATGCAATGCCCATGGAGGCCAGAAGAGGGCATTGGATCCCATAAAACCAGTGTTATACATGGTTGTTAGCCTCCATGTGGGTGCTGCTAACCGAACCCCAGTCATCTGCAAGACCAGCCAGTGCTCTTAACCACTGAGCCACCTTTCAAGTCACATCTTGTGCTACTGTTGATATACAAATCAATAATATATATGTATATATGTATACATTAGGTCATTTTATGTTATAATCCCAATAACATAATAATTACTATATTGTACAATCATCTTATATCTTTAAAAATCAATTAGGAAAAATAAAAATCTGTCATATTTAACTATGTATCTACTTTTTGCAGTGTTTTTAATTCTTGTCAATTTTAGTTAATTTATATTTTTTTGTCTGGCCTAAAGGAGTTCCTTTGAAACTTCTTCTGTGACTGTTCACAAATTGTCTCAGTCTTTGTTACCTAAGAACACATTGTACTTTCATCTCGAATTCTGGTCACAGAATTTTTACTGAAACTTCTTTTTCCCTTCCCCTCCCTCTCTATGCCATGCCTTTGCCTTCCTGTGTGTCTGTTGTCCCATTATGTAATGGGTTGTTGTTCTTTTGTTACATTCACAGTAGTTTTGTTTTTGAGACAAGGTCTTCATCTCCGACAGACACTGGCTCTGAACTTGCAGTCCTCCGCCTCTCCGCTTTCTGGGTGCTGGGATTACCTCCTGGCATAAGATACCACCCTCAGCTAGGGTACTTCCTTAACTTACCCCCTTGTCCCCACACTACAATGGTGGCCACTGTTGGTTTAGTCACTTTCTTGGAATGCTAGCTCCATGGCATCTGTCTCCCTATGTAGACACTGACATCTGTGCTCATTCAAAAAAAAAAAAAAAAATGGGTTTTTTATCTGTAAGTCTAGTCTCCTGCCCCATTTCTAATAGCTTAACAATGAGTCAATGATTGATCAGAAATTACGTTTAGCTATCTTGAGCTGTAAGTTTCTCATATTCTTTGCCAATGATCTGTGTTCAAGGCTCAGATGGTGTACAAGTCTTCTCTAGCTTTTACTTTCTGCCAGGTCCTCTAGTGTCTCCTCTCCACATGTGCAGGAACTCACATCCATCCAGAGGCATATGGACAGCCTTTCTTATCTCCCCTGAGTATGTCTGCAACCTTGGGCAGGCACCTGATCTTTCAGTCCACCAGAGAGACATAGGAGAGCCCATCGCGGCAGCCTCATCCTCACATTTCCTCATTAAAGTCCTGGGTAGCCCACCAATTCTATTCTTGCCCCACAAAAGATTATCCTATCTGTGATTATGATTGACCTTCCCTAACCCTTTGCCAAAAAGGTCACTACTATAGCTGACCGATGACTGTGCCTATGAGGTTTTCCTGCTCTTACATTCAAAACACATCATCCTCCTACAGGGAAGCTGCTGGCTTTTCCTAGGATGTGTTCGCCACTGACAATCAGAGGCAGAGAACAAAAACATCACTACTAACAACGGCAGACATCTAAAATGCTTGCTGTTGACAGTGGTCCCCTGGTCTGTCTCCTCTCCTCCAGTCTAGACCATGGTAGTTTGCAGAAGTACCAAGATGCCAGCTCCAGGCCCAGGCACTTAAAGTCCCAGCTTCCATGTTCTAGGGAGCCCTGAGCTGCCACATAAGAGATTGGTCACCCTGTGGAGAGGTGTCAAGGAAAGAACATACAGAAAAATAAGAGACCCTCAGACCAGATGGAAAAAAGTAACAAGTAGCAGAGTAGAAAAATGAGGTCCTAGATATTTGACCCAAATGAAGATAGCCTCAGCTCAGGCCCCTGCACACGTGAAGAGGCCACAAGACCCCAGCAGATCTCATAGGGCCAAAGTTTGACCATCTCTCCCATTTCCTACCTAGATGCCTGACTCCCAAAGTCATGGGAAATAATAAAATTGATAGCCACACTAAATTACTAATTCAGCAATGGTTAACCAAAAATATTCAGGAAACCAAAGCTAACCCCTTGCTTCTAGTTTCAGTGTACATATCTGTCTGGTTCAAGAGCCTACAGGTCTAGATTTGTTACTCCCTGCCCAAGTGGTATTGTGTTCTATGTACATGTCACACAAAGCACAGAAAAGGTTCACAACAAAAATAGGTCCTTAATAAAAGGCTTCATGTTGACACTCACAGTTAATATGATCATGAGTCACACCACTTATTAGAGCCCAGGAACAAGACTGCTTTTCCCTTCTGAGTCACTGAGTCGCGCTGGCAGGATCCGAGCAGCACTTCCCCATCTGCATACCCTTCTAATGTCAAGAATCCTCACCAACAAACCTGGCTGATGCCAGAAAACTATTTTCACCCAGAGGGGCCTGTTTAGACCACATGTATTTCATTTTCTCCAAAGCCAAGGCCTGGTAATCAGGTTTCTACTTACATGGAAGGAGCTCAGTGTCAACTGGATGAAGAGTCGAATAAGTTTCGAATATCCTTGAACTTGGTCATCAGTGATGAAAGAAAAGATGATTTCATGAACACCCAATAAAGGAATGAGGACAAGTGTTGACTTTGCCAATCTGCAAACATCAATCAGGTAACAGTCATGAAGGCCTCACTGGAAGTAGGAACTATTGCTTGCTCTTCTGTACATGTCTTTATTGTAGATCTTGTCATAGTGAGAAATAGTGATTTTTTTTTGGCTGGTCTCCTTGAGTATATATTTCATGCTTATGGGCCAGTATGGCCTTCCTCACCTTTTAAAAACTTTATTTTTTATTTTATGTGTATGACTGTTTGCCTGCATGTATGTAAGTGCACCACATGCATGCAGTGCCCTCAGAGGCCAGAAGAGGGTGTCAGATTCCCTGGAACTGGAGTTATAGACTTATTAGCCACCATGTGAGTGCTGGAAACTGAACATGGGTCTTCTGCAAGAACAGTCAATGCTCTTAACTTCTGAGTCATCTCTCTAGCCCTCTTCCTCAGTCTTATATCCTATACATAGGAGATACTCAGGAAACATGAATGAATGAATTGAATGAATGAATGAATGAATGAATGAATGAATCATCAATTGTAGGTCATCATATGCCTACAGATATTACGTTTCCAGGGAGCAAGTAGCTGCCACCTTGCAGATGCCACACAAGCTTGACACGTTTCCTGTTCCTGTCTGGCAGATGCCTCTATCAGCTTTCCCTCCCCACAAATTCAGTACTTTTGATGTCAACCTGAGATGAGAGAGAAAATGAATTTCCCAGGGCCACACAGATACCAAGCAGCAAATCCCTGCCTGGAAGTAAGGCTATGACTAAACACCAGGCTGCATAGTCTGTGCTGGGCTTTGCTACCAGCCCTCAGCTGCCCCTCAACCCTGTGACAGCAAGGGCTGCAGGAAATGGCAAACTGATCCCACTCATAAAAAGCTCAGTGTGGAGGTTGGTGGTTGTTTACAGTCTACACAAAAAAGACAAACATTCCTTTGTACCACCCACATGCAAAGTGCACAGCTGGGGCCCAATCATTCCAAACTGGTGGATCCTGATCCTGGCTGTTAAAATTCCTTCCAGAGTCTTTAAAATATATACACTGAGTCCCCTGAATACCTGACTCTGCCTCTGGGGATCCCGCCAACTGTAGATTGACATTTCTTTTCTTAAATGACCTCAGCATCTGTGGCTTTCAATATTTCTGGTGATTTCTAGAACTGATCCCCCATGTCTGCCAAGGGACAACTGCATATTGCTTCCTGGGCCCCAATGTGTATTTCCTGAAGCCAGACTTCTGGAGGCAGAGCCTTGAGAGTGAAACTTCACAGAATTCCCTCATGGGACTCTGAGAAGTAGCCAAGTTTGGAAATGACTGCACTTTACTATTGAGCTGCTTCTTGATTTGAGAGTAACTACATTAGCAAAGGTGACTCATATTCAGGGAAAAACAAATCTACTGTCTAATTCACACTGAGAAAAAGGGAGCTTAATTGTAACGTGTTCTTAGCCCAAGTGGCTGCTTAAAAAGCCAGTGTAGGAGGAAGCTCCCTCAACACCCCCAGACCCCACACACGTCATCTAGAGGTAAAGATGTAGAAAGTCACTCAGTGTTATCAGCGGTCCACCTGCCATTCTTTAAGAAGGCTGAACTCTATCCTGAGTCTGTGAGACCCATCCAAACGCATGATTATCCATGAAGCAAAACTCCTTCATCTTCATGCCCTGAGAAGATGCCTGGAAGAGGAGAACAAGAGCTGCTCTACAGGAGGGACTCCACCTGGCCATGTGGGCTGGGTGTCCCAGAACCCTGACAGGCAGGGGAGCCCACGAGTAGGAAAATGAGTGACAGGCCCTGGCTCTGTGCTCCTCCTGAAGGAGCTCAGATCTTCTCCTGCCCCCGCACCCACCCACCTGGGAGTTGGTTAGCTAAGTAACAGGCACATGTCCCCAAGGAAAGAACATTTCTAAGGGACTTTTTTTTTTTTCATTTTCATTTTTGGTGCTGAGCACACTGCTCTACCATCAAGCTATACAGCCCCTGGGGGTTATTTTGTTTGTTTGCTTGAATGTCTAGAAATGTTTTAAAAACATTTGACACAAAGGTTGCAAAGTAAAGAGCATGGGTTGAGATTTGACCTGAAGGCTGCTTTTGCTTAAGACCCAGAGTAAGAGTGAGGTTTGCTACAGTACCATCTCCCTTTGAAAACTGGGTGATCTGGTGACACAGGATCCAAACTGCTACTTGACCATTGGCTATGGTTCAAGCTGAAGGAATTTGAGAAACTGCAGAAGCAGGAACGTCACTCTGATTTCGCTCTCTGATCTCACTCTCATCACACAGAGCAGTTCATGTCACCTAGGAAGGACTTCCTACCCTTTCCCCGAAGCACGTCATAAGCGGTGCCCTCCCTGTTCCCACAGGAAAGGAGCATCCATGCTACTGAAGATGAAGGACCACAGAGAGGCATCTGAATTCACAGGCTTTGCTACATCTCCCAGTTTGTTACCATTAGACCACACCCCGTTTGTCCAGTAGTATCTCCCCACCATGGTCCACACGTCATCAAACCTAGCATTAAAATATACAAATCTGATCACTTCTTTGGATCTTCATTTCCTTATGACAGTTCCCGTAACAGCTAAAACTCCTAAATAAATGTGCCTATTTTCCTATTAATCTGTCTAATCAATATAATTCAGACCCAAACCAGAGTCTCTATGAGTCAAAGCAAAACCTTTCTTCTCCTTCACTGCCTGCTAGGAAGTCCTTTCAGAAACGGGCATGTGAAGAAACAATTCTCCTTTACAAGTTCATTGTGAGTTCAGGCTCCACACATGACACAGTGAATAAACTCATCAATATAAAGAAAGAGAGCTGCCTCCCTGCTGGGAACCACAAAGAACAGCAAACTGGACAGAGCTTGGGAGCTGCTGGTCTTACTGTAGGTGTTGTGACAGGGTATAAAGGTATCTGCATTTATATTTTATTTGAGTGTCCTAAAGCATTTTTCCTTCCTTCTTTCTGCGTAGCAGAAGCAACATGGCATAGTGACTTAAAGTGAGGCTCTAGGCTCCTACTTCCTTGTGCCACATCCCAGCGTGAGCATACCATGCAGTTTCACTCTGCCTCAGCTTCTTTTTTTCTAAGAGTAGAGATAGTGACATTTTAGCATTGTTTTAAAGTAAAAATATTTTAGTTTGTTTGTGTGTGAGAGAGTTCTAAGAGCATTGCTTGCCCTACACCCATGCACTGATATCTATCTATCTGCTCCAAGCCAGGCAGTTGGGCCATTTGCTGTTTCCTTTGCCTGATGGACGAAGCCCAGTGAAGAGAGCTAGGAATACAGAAGTTTCTCTAGCTCCTAGCAACTTGCCTGTTGAGCAAGATATAAATGTGTTTAATTTAAACTTCCCTAAAATATATTCCTGGAGAAGGGCCAGAGCTTGGGTACTACATTCTGAAAGTTTTCAAAATCTCAGCGAGCTGGAGGTAACCCCACCTTCTGGACTTTAGATGAAATGCTCTAGGCGCCATCTCCCTGTTTTTACCCTGTAGAAGATTTTCAGAGAAAACACACATGGGGGGGGGGTGTGGAAGAGGAGCAACTTTCCAGTGTGGAAGTAAGATGGGCAAGGTGGCCCACTGAGGTGACCAAGCCCAGAAATGAGGGAGTAAGTGCTGCTTCCTGAGAGCAAATGGGCAAACAAGCTCACAGACCCTGCAGGGTTCTGCAGCTCAAGGACCCTATAACAGTATGGCTGTGTCTTCAGAGACAAGCATGGACTCTGCACTATGCTCTCTGTGGGGAAAGAATGAGTCAACAGAAAGGACAGGGCCAACCAAAATAGTGGAGGGAAGAGCAAGAGGAAGATGTTCTCAGAACTTCTCTCACCCTGCCTGTTGCGTAGGTGAGTCCTCGGAAAGAACCAGCCCGGAACCCCAAGAGACTCAGAGGGAGAGTGTCTAAGGACAGACGCTGAGGAAGCCAGGAAGCAGCAAGGAGTCACCATCTTGGCTGGGCACAGCATGGATCTAGAAAGCTTAGCTAAGATGTGGGGGAGGAGCCCACAGGCATGCATGCCCTTGTAAGTAACTCCCTTCCAGACATCATAAACTTTATACAAAAAAACTCAAATGGGATGCCTGGTGTCAGTTTTGTAAAGTGAGGGAGGCTTTGGCAGATCTAAGTGATTCAAACCAGTATGTAAAACAAATCTGTAAAATAATAGAACAACCTACAAAAGATATAAAAAGGACAAGGCAGAAAGGGAGGTCTGTTTGGGTTACTCAAAGACAAATGTGGCAAGATTTATGTCTAGCCAAAGTTCCTTGAGGAAAAAATTGACGAAAAAAAAATTCTGTACTAAGGAGTTTCTGGAAAGCTTTAAAAGCTGAGGAACAATACACAAAAGGCGTACAAAGGATACAAACTGTCCCGGGGGGAATTAAGGGTCCCTGAAGATTCTCTCCTGAGAAAGGCTATATTATGGGTGGAGGCAGTTTTTCCCACCAGGGCCTCCCCGCAGCCAGTTATAGAGAGACGACAGATATGGCTACAGCCAGGAGGCAGACCCAGGGCCTGCCTGACTCGGGGAACCAACAGGTGCAGGGGGGACAAGAGGGACCCACTGCCTCCTTAGCCCAGTGCAGGGTCAGGCAACTTGAGCCAGCACCCGAGTTCATTGAGAATAAAAAAAACAGAGAGGCTCCATGTAAAATCCCCAGAATGTGGAATGACTTCAAAGAGACAATTAAAGATAGTAAAGAACTAACCAAGTTAATGCCTTTTATCCATGCTATGGTACCCAACAGAGATCTGTTGAGAAAACAATACAAATGGATAAAACCTTTCCACGCTGTGTTAAGCCTTGTCTAAGTTTGATTTAATATATGATACTAACCTCTGAGTGCTTTACAGATGTGAAACCCATTTGAAAGATATCAAGTACATCTGAAGAAATCAAGGCCAGCTATATCTGTAAGAGTCTTGGGAGCTTTCCGGTTGGGTAAGACACAAGTGATACCCACTGGGATGGTTGGGAAGGGCCTACAACACCTAATCCTGTATGAAAATAAAAACATAGGCTCCCCAAACTGTACAACTACTAAGAAAAAATTACAGTACCAGGAGTAGGTTTTCCCTCTATGAGCTGTTGGCCAGAGAGATCCTAGAGGTCCTTAAACCAAGGCTGTTGCCACTCATGTCAGTTGTACACCAGAAAAGGTCAGTAAGGCCACGTTGCTGAAGACACTGCAAGATGTGACTGTGGGAGAAGAGACAGAGCCGAGACTAAGCTGAAAACTCCATGCCACTGGAAGCATGGCTTTCATAGTGCCAGAAGGTGCTATGCAGATAGTTGGGGGAGAAGGATCCCCTATGATTCTGCTCAATGATGGACCCCGAGTGCTGCACACTAGTGACACGCCAAGCAATGACTGCTGATGCAATAATGGCTTGACTAACATAGGTACAACCAGCAAATTTCTAATTGGTTAAGGTCCACTCCTAGAGTGGAACACACATGTGGTGCTATAGACCAGGCCAACCCCCTGTGTCAGGGAAAGCTGTAAGACCTCAGCAGGGAAGCTGCTGCAAGTGTTCTGTGATAAATATGGTACACCTGCTGGGGTATCTTCTAGGCTTTTGTATTTGCACCCATGTTTGTTTAGATGTGTCTGCTTCTTTCCATTTGTCTTTACAGTAGGGGAGACACCAATGAAATGGATCAACAGCCACATCTTGAGAACAAATGATAGGGAGGCCCAGGAGTCCAATATCTCACCACAATGAAAGAAAAAAGTTTGCCCTGCATATGTCACTCCCTCCAAAGCTCAGGGACCCTTGCAGAAGACTGGCAGAAAGATTGTGAGAGCCAGAGGAAGGGGTGGAGTGTTGGGTAGGCATGTCCTCCAAGAGAACTATCCCTGAACCCCAAGAGACTCGGAGGGGGAGGGTCTAAGGATAGATGCCGAGGAAGCTGGGAAGCTGCAGAAAGTCGTCATCTTCGCAGGATCTAAAAAGCTTAGTCGAGATGTAGGGGAGGAGCCCATGGGCAGGCATGCCTTTGTAAGTAACTCCCTTCCAGACATCATAAACTATACAAAAAATTCGAATGGAGACTCGGAGGGGGAGGGTCTAAGGATAGATGCCGAGGAAGCTGGGAAGCTGCAGAAAGTTGTCATCTTCGCAGGATCTAAAAAGCTTAGTGGAGATGTAGGGGAGGAGCCCACGGGCAGGCATGCCTTTGTAAGTAACTCCCTTCCAGACATCATAAACTATACAAAAAATTCGAATGGGATGCATGGTGTTGGTTTTGTCTGACTGGGTGTGCCTGGGAACCCAAGAGAGTGTGAGTGGGTCTCCCAGGGGAGAATTTGGCACTATACTACCAGAGATGCACAAGCTTGGGAATGAGCCACCGTTCAACAAGTAGATGGTGCTAAGGGCCAGCAGTGGTTTCTCAGGCACCCTTCAACACCAGTCATCCTGCTTTGACGGTGTGTTTACCAAGCAGCATTCTGGTGGCCTCCATCTTTCTGACTTTACTAATGTTGAGACTAGGAAACGATGTGAGGTGGACACTTAGAAAGAATGCCCTCCCCTTACTCTACCTTCCACAGACTTTAAAAATGCAAAATAATCCAGTAACTAGCCAACTCTGCAAAGTGAGGCCTGTTCCCCAGCAAAGTTTGGGTAGACTTGCACCTCTGTCTCTCTTCTCAAGCATTCCCTTGAACAAGAGTAGAAAGAAGAAAAAAGAATTTCTAGACACATGCTAGCCAAGGCTACTTACTCTCTCTTCTTGCAAAGCATCCATCCATGATCATTGCTCAGCCACGTGAGTCTCTCCAGTGTGTTAATTTGCCCTTTCTCAAATCAATGTCACCCAAGTGGGTATGCACACCCCACTGCTGTGCAAATCAATCTATTTGTTATTAGAATAAATACAATAATAGAAGATAATAGAAGGCTCTTGTATATTAACTTTATGAATAACTATCACCTCTTTTGGTTTTGGTGTATCTGCATATATATATATATATATATGTGGTGTGTGTTGATTAGAATATGCATACATAGGATGAGGGACATGCTCAAGATGTCTCTGCTGATGAAGATGTATGATCAGAAAACCTTAGACCTTTTCAAGTAACTCTGGAGGGAACCCCGGAGAAGAGGGTGATAAAGCTGTATAGAAACACCTTCACCAAGGTCCAAGCAGAGAAGTCCAGGCACTCCTTCACTAGAGCATCTGCTCGGGCATCCTTTACTCTGGCTGTGTATCAGAATCTCCAGGGGAGGGCTCTAGGAAGCCTTCATAGTGAGGCTTCCTTCCATACTTCCTGAGTGAACTACCTACCCAGTGCTGGGGTTCACAAGGCTGTGCTTTGGGTCAGCTCTCAGGAGATACAAGCAGCTAGGGTAGAAAATTATTATAGGAGTCACTGAGGGTCTGGAGCATAGGGAAGGTTCCCTGGTACATGGCAGTCTTTGGGGGCACAAAGCAGTAGAGGTCAGGCTCTGAGTCCCTTGGACTCATCTGTTCTGTCCCCGTCTCCTGGAAGTCTTCTCCTCCGTGTAGTTTCTAAGGAACTCTGGTTGTCCCAGTACTTGGTAATCAAGGGACTACCTCCTTAACTGGACTGAAGTGGCTCTGTCCGCCCTTTGAACTTCACTCTCAGAGAGCAGTGTGAGGCTGAACCTTGGGAAAGAGGCCAAAGAGGCTCCCTGGTCCTTTGGAGACCCGATTGGAGTCACTAGGAGAGAAAGCTCAACTCCCTGGGGCCCATACCAGGCTAGTTCCCCAAGGCTAGGAGTTTCTGCAAAAGCCCCAACTAGAGAGTATAGTATATATTCATTCCTGAGTTGGGTGTGTTTACTCTTCTAGATCTCTTGGAGCAGGAGTCTCAGGAAGATAGGATTTGGGTCTGGGTAGAGAACAAGTGCTGCGCTCCACATCTGATTAGAGTGACTAACCACAAATAACCTCCTTCAGCCATCATAACACACAGAAGATGAGTCTGCCCCGAAGCTCCCACTTTACACCCTAGAACACAGTGGTGGCCAAGCCTCTTACCTAAGGTCAGTGAGGGAGCTGGGCCAAGGCCAGCACCCACCCTCCTGTCTTTGCTCCAGTGTTACAGTCCTTATTGAAGTAGCACACATGCCCTTTAAAGCATGATATGGACCATGTTGTATTCACCGTTCATTCCAAGCACAGTGCCAAGCATCCTGGAAACACTTGTTGAATGTTTGCCAAGTAAGTAGAAAAAGTCAGCCCTAGCAACAGTGAGAAGCTTGGCTGCAGTTCACTCCTGCCCTCTGCTTCTGATCTGCTGTGTGGACTAAAATCCTCATCGCAAAGCTGTTCTTCTGGTTAAAACACTCTTCCATCAACCCTGATGAAATTCACCTGCCACACTGGAAAACTAGGACTAGAGAGAGGAGGGATGCTTCCTTCATTTGGTCGTGTTTACAGCAGTGCAGCGCTCACTAAATGCCTATCACCTGACGTACTATGAGTGGGGAGTGCTATCATCACAGAAAACTGAAGGTGAGACACAGTAAAGACAAGTCATAAAGAAAGGGGGGTTGTGAAAGGAATTCATGACCTAGATTCTCAATATTTGTGGTAAATGTATGAAATTTATTCTCATATTCTCTTCTGACTTACAAATATGTCTTTTATTCGGTTACCTCAAATTCTTCAACAAAGAAGGGAAGGCAGCAAAAACTCCCTTTCTACAGGGCTTTTCTTTCTTCATAAACCTCTCATTTCAACAATCTCCTATCAGGTAGGGGGACTAGTATACTCTTGAATGCTAACCTCTTACATCATTGTTATGGGGTTGGGAGTCGTTGGCTAAAGTCTCACATGCACTCCAACATCATATTTGCCCCAATAGATTTTTCAGAAGGACTCTCCTTCATTCCCTCACCTTAGGAGGCAAATACACTAATACAACTCACACGTTAAGCTTTGAGTGTGAACGACCCCCACAGGCTCATTTGTTTGAACATTTGGTCCCCAGTTGGTGGTACTGTTTTAGAAGATTATAGAACCCTTTGGACATGGGCCAAACTGACAGACATAGGACCATAGGGGCAGGGCTTGATAGGTTTTGGCCCAAGCTCTCTGCTTCCTGATCTGCTGAGATGTGAGCAAGATGATCTACAAGCGCTCACCACTGCCTTGCCTTCCCTGCCAGGATGGACTGTACCGTCCCAGACCATGGGCCGAAGTAAGTCCTTCTGCCTTCCTTAAGTTGCTTCTTGTACAGTATTTGACCATAGGAGTGAGAGTAGTAACGAAAGGACTTTTCTTCCCTTCCCAAGACTTTGGTGACACCAATAAGAGTCAGAACGACCTTGGTCTGCTAAGCCCTGACCTCAGGTCACTCACCTGTATTTATAATCTCTGAAGCACATCTGATGGGCTTTGAGTTTAGAGATGAGAAGCTTGAGAATTTTCAGGAAGATGAAGAAATTAACCTTGAAAAACAAAAAGCAAATATGGGTAAGTAGGGACAGATGCCACATTGCTGTGAATATCAAGGTCACCTTGGCCTTAGCCCTCAGTTCCTCACTCACCAGGGCATAAACCAGGGCAATCTGGTAGTTAGTGTGTCACACATTGAGTGCTTATGGTAATCCCCACTGTCCCAAAACCCTCCGAACTGAAAGTCTGGGGGAGAGCTTGAGAATCATTTAGTGTATTCTGTCTCAGGGATGTCTACCACTCAGCCATCTGAGAAATGCAAAAGCAGCAGCAGCAGCATTGCATTATTGATTTTATCAGGCCAGGCTTGATTAAGAACTTTCCATACATCATTTTATTTAATTTTCAAAACAACCCCCTGAAGTAGCCACCACCAGTTATAGACAATTTGTATGAAACGAGAAAACGAGCACAGAGGAGATGAATATAATTCTGAAGCTTGCGCAGCTAGTTAGCAACTGAGCTGGTGATTGAACCCAGAGGTAGCAGTCCTACCTTCTTTAAGCAGAACAACATACTCCTTCTTTTCTGTAGAGAACTCTGGCCCTATTGATGTCTAAGGTAAGGGCAGCATATGTTCTCTACTCTCTAGAATACTTCCCATAACTATCATGGACTGAACAAATCCAGCCCTTTATTATCAGTTTTGGCAGAAAGTATAAAATATGTCATCAGGGGCTGGAGAGGTGGCACAGTGGTTAAGAGCACTGGCTGCTCTTGCAGTAGACCTAGGTTTGGTCTGTACCTCTAGTTCCAGGGAATCCAATGCCCTCTTCTGATCTCCAGTATTGCATGCACCTGGTGCCCTTATATACATGCACACAAAAACATACATATAAAAGTTAAAAATTAAAATAAATAAAATATGTCTGCAAATTCCTCGACACTTTGTTTAAAAAGCAGAGCCTGATCTTCCCGCACTCTCACCCTAGATATTGTCGAGATTTAATTATTTGCATCTAATGAAAAGAACATGATGGACGTGGTACCATGTGACTTCTGGGGACCTCAAAAGGAAGCCACCCCCCAGTCTGGGGAAAGCTGGTCACCATGCTAAAAGGACACTCAAGCAGTTTCTAAAGGCAAGGAGAGACCTGCATGGGACAGTCAAGTCTTCCTCTCAGCAGTTAGCACCACTCAACAGCCATGTGCATGAGCCACCTTGGGAGAGGAGCCTCCAGCTCCAGTCAGTCTTCTAGATGGCCAAAGCCCTGGCTGACATCTTGCCTCATGAGAGCTCATGAGCAGGATGGACTGTAGACAGACAGGTGACTGAGTGTGTCTGGGAGAATGAGAAAAGGGTTTGTAAGACCTGAAAGGGAGGAGGGCTAACCAACCCGGGGGTTTTTTGTGGCCGTGTTGAAGGGTTTGCGCTTTCTTTGAAGGCAATGGAGAGTTCAGAATGAATTTTAAGCAGGCCTATGACCTGATCAGATTTTCACCTACTGCTTTTCAGACAGATCGTTTTAGCAGCAGTGTAGAAAACGGACCAGACAAGGGCAAGACTAGAGGAGAGAGACCAGTTGGGGGCGGTTTCAAAGTTCCTGGGGAAGATGTTGGAGAAGTGAACTCAAGCAGCTGCGAGGCATTTCAGTGACAGAGAGGAGTGACTCGTTTGAAATTATGTCTGAGTCCAATGACCTTTGTTACTGGTTGGATGCGAAATCAAAGATGACCTTGATGTTTCATGGTAGCCCTCGGTTCCCCCCGAGAGGGACCATGTGTAGAGGAAGAACACTGGTGATGTGAGAAGGAGGAAGACGTGTCTGACAGCTACAAACAGAAGAGACGTTCAAGGCAGATGAATATTCCTGCCTGGACCTCAGCAGAACATGAAGGCATGAGAGTACAGAGATTATCTAGGGAGACTATAGACTGGAGGCAAGGGTTAAGAGAATTGCCTGGGGGAGGGGGTTAGAGGGCTGGATCAGCAGTTATGAACACTTGCTGCTCTTGCAGAGGACCTGAGTTCAATTCCCAGCACATATGTGGGACAGCTCACAACTGCTTGCAGTTCAGGCTCCAGGTGATCCATACTCACTTGCATATACCTCTACACAGACAAGCACATAATTAAAAATAAAATCAATCGTTAAAAAAAGAAAGAGAAGAGAATTGCCTTGGAACGAAAAGAACCATGGGGGAAGTGAAAGGACAAAGGAAACTGTGAAAGAGTAGCCATGGTAACTGGGATGAAACTGGAAGCCAGTGCAAGAACGATCAGGGAGGTCTAAAGGTGGAGTGTAAGCAAAATAAGACAGCATTTAGCAACAGGGGCTCCCCGGGGGGTGCTGTGGCATTAGGGGAGGAGACCACCGGCTGGATTGCAATGTGTTCTAAGGCTTGTCTGTGAAAGAAAGCAGAGGGACAGAATGGGAGTGGGAAAGGAATGCTCAACGGAGACAACACCGCTCCAGTTTTCTTTGCAGGGCCAGAAGGTTTTGGTAGCAGATGTTTTCTAACATGAAGGTTTAACAATGTGCCCATGCCATGGAGAATGAGTTGACAGAAAGCGCAATCGGGTGCCAATTAATGGAATAAAATCTCTACAGACATCGACCCAGGACCAGACAAATGCCCCTGTCCAGGAGGAAAGTCCTACGTATTGCAACTCAAGCTATAGGATGCAATATATACCTGTTATTGTGGGCTTTGCTGGCCTCACAGGCTCGATGCTCAGTTAAAAAGCTAGAGTTTCAGGCAAGCGACTATTTATCTAAAACATAAGCCAATGGGAATGATGGAAGTTCTTAGCCAAAGAATATTTAGTACCAAAAAATTTAAATACAAATAAACGTAACCAAGTAATTCATCCCTTTTAATGGGATATCTGCTTTTCATCATAAAGAGAAAATGCTGTGTGCTTGGCTTAGTAATTTGTTGAACATAGGTATTTTTCTTAGTAAGCTAAGCAGGGCAGGCACATATTTCAGCAAATGAATTTCCCTTGAAACTGTCTCTTAGAGAATGAAGAAGGGCTAAGATGGAAAGCCTGTGGATCCACTCTGTATCTTCCAGAAACCAGATAAGAGAAAATGGGCCCCATAAAGAAAGCGCTTCCCCACAGCCACAGAGTAAATCACCAACCCGAGCCTCCCTAGGCCTCCAGAGGTCAAGAGTCTACAGCATATTTGGATAGTGGTATTCATTTGTGTACCAGCAGGGAAAGTGATGAATGAGGAAATTTTGGGGGAACCAAGTCAACCCCCTAGGATTCTGTGACAAGATGGGAGACACACAGAACCCCAAACATAGAAGGCTCTCTTCTAGGTCCTGGACGGTGCAGCTGCCTTCACAGACATTACCTCCTTGGTGTCACTTTTGGCACCCAGCACCTGTGCTTAGATCTGGGTCTGCAGACTCACAGAAGTGATTTCTAAGATAGCAGGCGCTCTGGCTTCATGTATCACAGACCTCTTCTACCTCTCCCCAGGCCCTGGCTCCTCTGGCCTGCTGTGTGGATGAAAATGCTTACCTCTAAGGCTCACCCTTTGGGCCAAAACACACCTTCTCCAAGAGTCCTGCTGAAATGCTCCATAGAAAGTAAGAAATGACTGGAAGAGCACAGAGGATGCTCTCATTTCTTTCATTCAAATGCATTCATATTTCACAGCAATGAAGATGTCAGTAAATACCTACTGCGATGGTTTGGATGAGAAATGTCCCACATAGGCTCATATATTTGAACACTTGGCTCCCAGTTGGTGGCACTATTTCAGGAGGTTATGGAACTTTTAGGTGGTGGAAGCTTGCTGGAAGAAGTCTATCACTTTGGGTGAGCTTTAAGAGTTTCTTTCTCTCTCTCTCCCTCTCTACCCCCCCCGCCTCCTTCCTGTGTGCAGATGAAAATGTGATCAGTAGCTTCCTGCTCCTACCACTGAGCTTCCTCTGACTCCTGCCATCCCTTCCTCACCATGATGGACTCTACCCCCTCCTGAACTGTAAGCCAAAATAAAACCTTTCCTTCTTAATATGCTTTTGTCAGGGTATTTTATCACAAAAAAAGTAACTAATATACCTATGATTTACTTTAATTATGGAAAATAGGGGCTGGGATGCAGTAAAGGTAAACAGAAGACAGAATAAGGCAGGGAGATTCTCATTTAACCTTTCCAGCAGAGGACACTGTAGGAGTGAGGTGCTGTCTAGGGAGGCCTGGAGCAACAGGAAGACTCTTAACTCTTGGTGGGACAGAAGACATGAAGAAGGACACAGGAGATGAAGACTAATTTTTACCTGTTTCTCAGCATTGCCACTGTCAGAGAAAAGGGCAAATGATGGTTTGACTCCACAGCTTCATAGAGCCAACAGATAGTTCTTTCAATTGATTGATTAAAAAAGGCTTCTCAGCTGGGTGTTCAGTCTGGCCAGTCTGTTAATTCCAGGGAGCAGGATATAGATCAAATGACCTTTCTCAAGTAATCCTTGAAGGACTGGAATGATCAAGGCTTTAACAATTTGCTAGGGAGGATGGGGTTCTGGGAATGGTGATTAAATGGTGTTCTGGTATGATTCAACTCTAAATGTACAACCAAGGATAAGAGGCTAATTTAAGTAGCAAAGTTTTATAAAAAGACATGAACAAAGAAAATGGTAGGAATTCTCCAGTTTCTGTGTCTGGTGAAAGACACAAAGCACATCTGGATTTCACACGTAGACACACTATGGGCATTTCTGAAGCACAGGAAACACGATACCAACAAAACAATGAAGTCTACTGTCTGCACATCTGGGATGACATTTTCATTAAGCCACTGTTTAGCGCATACAAACCCAGTTTTTGTGGCAGTGGGAGAAATATGACTTTAAGAACGGAGGATGCTGACTAGGGAGCCAACATCTGGAATAGGAGATTCTCTTTGGTCCCGTGTCCTGTTCACTATCTACAGTTGACGTTTCCCCAGATCTACACCATGATCCAGAAATTTGAGCTCAAGACCAAATTTGACAAAGATAAAGGAAAATTGTTAAGTACACTGGAACTTGAAATACCAAGTACTTCCAGCTCAATCTCGATTATCATGTACCTTTGTGTTGTTTTAGTATTTCAGTTTAAATTGAACATATATGGAATAAGGGATTTTTCCTTAGCAATTTCTGGTTTTGCTTATGTCACAATCTGGTGCAGTGTAGGGATCTCTGCTCTATGCAGTCATTCAGGGACCCAGGCTCCTTCCATGTCTTTATTCAACAAATTCTCTTTTGGAGGTGGGGTTTTGGATGTTCAGAGTGGTGGAAAATGGCAATATATGGTCATACAACCAACCTTGACAGCAGCGGTTCATGTCAGTATTCTACCAGTTAATGATAAATATTCTTCCTTTTTCCAAAGAGTAACTTCTCCAGTTTCTATTCAAGGTCATTTCCTCTTGGCCAATTCCCTGAAGATGTGGACAACAGTAGTTTCACAATATCCTCCCTAAGACCTTTAAAGTTATGCTCCTTTCCAGGAATGTCTGTTGACTTTGTTAGTTGAGGGGATAAAGAGAAGGAATGGGAATCAAATAGGAAGCTTTTGCAAATGTCTGAATACAAGAAAGCTAAAAAAGACCAGTAAATGTGGAACTGAGACGGAGATGACATGGGAGGATCTTCAGGGGAGGAGTGGAGACTTGAAATCTGAGGGGATATTCCAGGAAGGAAGAAGATCGGAGATGAGAGGACACCAGCTCGGGTGTCTAGTGATGGGTGACAAAGTCATTTACGGAGTGGTTAGAGTTGAGACCATCTAAAGCTGAAGCTGCCTGGTCCCTACCCCCAGAATTTCCATTGTCAGTGGTCTGAGCCACCATGGTGTTTCTAAAACACGGCCAATTTTGAGAACAACAGCTGTATACAAAGAGTTTCACATATTTTAATATGTATCCAAAGCCTGGGGATCTTATCATGATATAGATTCTGGCTCCATAGTTTGGAGTGGGGATGATGAGAACCCGAATTGATAACAAGCACATCAGAGTGTGGTGCTGATGCTGTTGGTCCAAGGACTATTTTTGGAAGGACAAGGGTATAACAAAATGCCTTTCAAACCCAGCTTGAATTAAAATCCCCAGGGCACTTGTGAGAGCAACGAAGGACGGGTGTCTATAGTGGGACTTAAGCCAAAAAAAAAAAAAAAAAAAGAGTTCTGAAGACATCCAGGGGATCCCAAGAGCAATTATGTTTGAGAACTACTGATATCACCTGTAGATTTCAGAGTAAATATGATAGATCCAAGTTGACAGAGCCTGAACTCCATCTGAGGGAGGGTTGATAGCTCCAGGAATCTCCTGGTTTATTTTGCTGCTTAGCAAGAACCTTCCAGTGTCTTGACTGTGGGTGTCTATTAATAAGGCCTACAACATACTTAATCTGGCTGCTGAGATGAACAGAACATGTGGCTTACAGCAGCAACAAATGGGTTTTAAACAACTACTTGAAGTCTGTTGGAGCTGGAGCAGAAGCCAGGAAGTATGGAATCCAGCAGGATGTGAGGAAGAGAGTGTGACCATAGCTACTGTGCATGGTGAGAGTCCAGGCATGACAGCATAAAAATACTGGTGCTTGACCCACAACTTGAAAGATGAGCACTGGGTCCCAGTGGATAAGATGGTAGGGCAAAGCAGCTGGGACTCGGGGAATCTGAGGCAACTGAAAGAACCATTAGCATTCCAGGCACAGGTCCTGCAGGTAATCAGTCAGACCCTATGAGCTGAGCTCCAACTCCCACTTAACTGAATCTATGAAGTTATTTAGGCAAATAATGTCTCATCTTCTCAATGTCCTTACCAAATCATAAACATAATAGCACTCAACTTTGTAGGTTCACCAGGAAGATTAATCAAGTCCATATACTTAAAGCTCTTAGAATTGGCACTAGTATGTAGGCTAAGGTGCCCAGTAAATGTTACCAGATGGTGGTAATGGTGCCTGGGCAGGAGGTGGGTGCTGTGGGGTGCCCCAGTGGGGCAGTGTGGCCAGGAGAAGACAGTGGAAAAGTGAGCAGTGGGAGGGATTGAACAAATGCCATGACTGGTTGTGTGTGGTCAACTTAATTTGGAGCATTTGCTCTGAACCAACTAAGTGTCCAGAGACTGAAGAGAAGATACTAGTAGTATGCCACTTGCAATCAGGGGCCTCCTTGGTGTTCCTGCCATTTCTATGCACATTTTCCTTCAAGTCACAGCTAGATCTCAGCAGAGAACTGCCTTGTGTTACTGAAAAAACCTAACAATCTTCTATGATAACTGGCTTTTATTTCTTTCAAGAAACCATGCTATCTACATAAAAAAGCAAGAACAGGTCACCTATAAACCCTTTGAGGAAGATATGGAACAGAAAGCCAGGCACCCAGTGAGTGGACATTCAGAAGATGGCAGGAAGATCTCTGGCCCAGCCCTCTATAGAACCTGTCAATCTTTCCAACTGCTGGCTAACTCCCTGCGCCTTCCCTCAAACTTCTTTAACAGCTTTCCTCCTCATGCATTATCAGTTAAATCTCAGCCTCTTAAACTCTGGGTCAAAACTTCATATGGGGTCACATAAATGAAAGTAGGAGATAACAAAAATTTTGGCAGTAGTAAAAAGTTTCTGAACATGCAACCGCCAAAAATTAATTCAAAATCAAATGCATAATGAATCCAATGTGTTCCTGGCAGCGCTCGCCCATGTTGCATCAGACAGCTTCACTGCAGCGTTAGTTCTGAACACGACATGCATACTTTGCACTATGCATGCCGACACACACTGCATGAAACACCTCAGCTTAGATTTAAGACAGCCGTGTGCTATGAATTGTAGTGTCTTTACTCTGCAGACCAAGTTTTCTATTCTTAAAAGACCATAATGATTTAACAACAGAAAACAAAGACTTTTAATGTTTTCTGCCATCATTCTACCTAGCATGTAAATATCAAGTTAGTTTATGTCTGAATTATATTATTAGACTGTTTAGTTTTTAAAATTACTATGTGAGTTGCTGATTTGAGTTTCATTTTTAAAAATTGCTAAGTGAGGGACAATGAGATGGCTCATCAGGTAAAAGCACTTGTTGCCACGCATGAGATTGGAACAAAGTTTCCAACAATTTCTGAAATGGCCCTAAACATACTTCTGCCATTTTGTACTACATATTTATGTGAAGTGACATCCTCAGCATTAACAAATATAAAATCAGAGTATCAATTCTGAAAACATTGGAGATGCTCTACATCCTGTTTCATCAAATATTCAGCCAAGATTTAATTCTAATTCAAGGCTTAAAAATAAGCAGTCAGGTGGGATTGTGCACACTTTTAATCCCAGTACTCAGGAGGCAGAAGCAGGTCTCTGTGAGTTTGAGGCCAGCCTGTCTACATAGTGAGTTCCGGGACAGACAGGGGTGCATAGTGAGATTCTGTGTCAGTCAATCAATCAATCACAAGTATATCTATCTTGTTAGTATACAAATTTGTGTTTGCCTTTAATAAATGGTAAAAATAGGTATATGCCAAAGAATTATTTTTTTTATTTTTATTTAGTTTTTTGTGTGTGTATGAGTGTTTGCCTGCATGTATGCAAGTGCACCTGTGTGTGCAATGCCTGTGGAGGCCACAAGAGAGTGTTGGATTCCCTGGAACTGGAATTACAGACAGTTGTTAGCTGTCATGAGGGTGCTGGGAACTGAACCCACATCCTCTACAAGAACATTCAGTGCTTTTAACCACTAAGCCATGTCTCCAGCCCCAAAGAATTATTTTTAAATACATTTCCTTATGATTTATTGTCAGTAAAAGTATGTCATTACATCTAAGGTCACATAAAAATTCCTCAGCCAGGTAAAGATTAAATCCACACCTGTGTCTCTAATCCCAGCACTCAGGAGATAGAGGCAGGCAGATCTCTGTGAGTTCAAGGCCAGCCTGTTCTACATAGTGAGTTCCAGGCCAATTGGGGCTACAGGACCTTGTCTCAAAAAAAGAAAGAAAGAAAGGCAAAAAAATACTTTTTCAGGAAAAAGAGTTTGCAAGAAGAAAAAGTTTAAATGGGCTACACCTCTAGGTCAGTCGTCTCTTCCCACTGTGAATATTCTGAGCCCCAACAAATCAAAGACCTTCCTCCTCAAGGTCTCCAGAGCAATATCTATTCTATCACCTGTGACTGCTTTTTTCTCCTTTAAAGTAGTTTCCTTGATTTTCTCATCCCACCTGGTAATGGCATTAAGAAACAAACAAACTAAGGTGGGCATGGCGGCACCTCTGTAATCCCAGCAATGGCAGGCCGAGGCAGGGAGATTGCTATGAGATTGAGGTCATCTGGGCTTCATAGCAAGACTCTGTCTCAAACAAACAAGCAAACAAACAAAAGATAAATGCCAATGGTTCTGCTGTTGCTGAGCTCTTCCAACACCAAAGGCAGCCTCTTCCTCATCACAGCCCTTTGGAGGCTGGTCACAGAGCTGACCTCAGGTTCCCATTCAAAGATTCAGAGAGATGTAGGGTTACAGTGTAATTCTGAATTTAGGTCTTGAATCAGAACAAGGAGAAGCTTCTAATTTCTCATCCAGCAGAAACTGCTCACATTTCACCTTCTCCTTCTCAAAGGACCAGAGATTTTAGGAGTTGGGGTGGAGGTAAGGGTAAGGGATGCTCCCTGTAGTTGCTGAGTTCAGAGCAAAATAAGATGCATGGAACTGTCCTTACTGTTACACAAAGCAGCATGGGTCCTCGGATGATCCACCAGATTTTCTTATTCCCATTGGTCGCCCAGCACCTAAAGGACAAGAACAGTCCGGAGGAGACAAAAAAAAGGAGATGAGAATTAATCCCCCGAGAAGAAGGATGTTTGCTTCCAACACTTACTGTCTGCCAAACAGCCTCCTGAGAGGAAGGACGGGGGTGGCAAAGAACTAAAATCCTTTGTATTGTTCGTCACTGGTACTATTGACTTTTCCTGCCAAGAAATTGCTTCTCAGTGTTCCCTGCTCACTGTATAGGCCCTTCCTGCTTTCCTCCATGTACATGCAGATAATAAGCACTCAATTATATGCCTTTATTTCCCCACTAAAGAGTTTGTTTTCTCCATTTCATATACCATATGTATGTATATATACACAGACATCACCACCCAAACCCTATTAAAAGTGGATCACATAATACACATTTTCAGCAACACAATTAAAATATTTAAAATATTTCCTACAAGTCAAGAGATTATAGGCTAACTTTGAGTTTTCAGTCTTCACCTAGTACTCTACAACGTAGGTATGCCACAGTTTGCTTAATGATTGTTCTGTCAATGGACATTCAGAGTTATTGGGGCTTTCTCATGTGAACAAAGCTATAATGACTATTCCATTCCTGTGCTTCTGTCATTACATACCAGCACCACAGATAACCTAGACAGCATCTCGGACAATCCACATATAACTGTCAGTAAACTACTATACAGTCCTTGATTATATATCTATACTCTTAATTATACTCTAGAAGGACAAAGTGGGAGAAAATGGATACTCTCTAGGAAAATGGTATTGTTCCTTACATTTGGGCATATCTGGAAATTGCTGATTGGTGAAAAACTAACACCAGATGAATTACCTACCCTATGTTCTCCAGGTGTGCTCGGGCAAAGCCCCAGGGGACAACAAACAGCGTAGGGAAGGCTGTGCAGAAAACAGGAAAGGGAGTTAGCTGGTTGGCCAAACCTACTTACCCCCCCCCCCGCCATGCCAGTGTAATAGGGCCCAGCACAGCAAGTTCAAACAGATAAAAGCTCAACAAAGAATTGTGGACTGTGAGAACTGGGGAGGCTTAGCACAGCCCAGGCCCAACCACAGTTCTGCCATCAGAGAAGCCAGGACCCAGGGTACAAGGACTCGCCACCTGTCACAAAGCAGTTTGGAATAAATCCATGGGCTTTAGCCAAAATTTATTTCAGGAAATTGTGGGTCCAGGTTATTTCCTCCGAATCTTGTAGCACCAAATTGATCAACCGCTTGTGGAAATAGGATTTCCACATTAGGACACTTGGCTCATATTTCCAAGATTTAAAAAAAATCCTTGTCTTGAGGACTTGGTGTTATAGACTGATTGACTGTGTCCTCCCAAATTTCCTACATCAAAAACCTTCTCCCTTGGGGGCTGAAGAGGTGGTTCAGCAGTTAAGAGCACTGGCTGCTCTTCCAGAGGACCTGAGTTCAATTCCCAGCACCCAATGGCAGCTAACAACCTTCCATAACTCCAGTTCCAGGGGATTCAACCCCCTTTTTTGGCTCTTCAGGCTTTGCACAACACACATGCAGGCAATACACTTATGCACATAAAATAAAACACCTCCTCCCAATATGGTAGTATTGGGTGTGGGGACTTTGGAGGTAACTAGGTTTAGATGGTCTCACAGGAACAGGGTCCTCATGGTGGGATTAGCACCCTTATAAAGAGATTAGATTCCCCCCACCATTGGAAGGATGCAGCCAAGAGAGCAGCTGTTTACACAGCAGGAAGGGATTCTTCACCAGAACTCGAGAATGCTGGATTCCCCAACCTTTGGAAGAACGATAAATCAATGCCTGCTGTTTACACCATGCATATTTTGTTAAGACATTGTGAGCAGACTAATGCAGCTGGAAACATGGTAAGAACAGTGTCAACTGAGTCACCAAAGACCTTTCCATTTCTGAATTTGTGCATTGGGCATGTAGCACCTTTGCTCATGTGTGTATATATGTGTCATGCATGTATTCTTTCATTCTCACTCAGCTCTCTCTCGCTCTCTCTCCAGTGACCCTTGTCATTGAGCAATTATCTGTTCTGGATGTCATCCTCCAGTTGGGATTTCTAACTCCAACCAAAGGCTCTGTCAAGCTCCTGTTTTGATGGGTCCCCAGGAGAGGCGGCTGGAAGTCAGGCCACTCACCCCAGCCCACCACCAGATATCTGGGCCACAGCCGCCTTTCAGGAAGCACAGTGGGCTCCAGCAGAGCATGGAGATAAAGACCTTCAACCAGCAGCCACAGGTGATTGGCACCCACGAAGTAGTGCAAGAGGACCTGCACGGAGCGGCAGGGGGTGGACACCTGCAGAGGCAGAACACCGGAGTGAGTCCTGGCCTGCTCAGCACCTGGACCCCAGGGAACTGAGCAGGGCCTCCCTTGGCTCACATGCTCAACCCCATCCTTCCCTCTTTCCTGAGCTCTTGCTGACTATTTCAAAGAGGTTGGCAAGAAGGCTTCATCTGGCTCTTAAAGACCAACTAGCCTCTTCCTTTACATTTTATGTATTTTTATTTAAATATATTTTATTAATTCTTTGAGAATTTCATACATGCATACAATATATTTCTATCATATCCCTCTACTCCCAGATCCCTAATACCTTCCAGATTTACTCTTACCCCCTTACTTCTTCCCAAATTCATGTCCTCTTTAAAAAAATAATAACCTACTGAGTCAAATTTATGCTTCCCATATGCTGCTGAGTGTGAGGCTCTCCACTGGAGCAGGGCCTGTCAGCAGCCACATGCTTAAAGAAAACGGACTCTCCTTCCTGCAGAAGTCATCAACTGTCCATAGCTCCTCAGTTAGAGGTGGGGGCTTGTAAGCCCTTTCATGTTTTGTTGTTGTTGTTGTTGTTGTTTGTTTTTGAGACAGGGTCACACATATCCCAGGCTACTTTCAGATTTGTTATATAGCCAAGGATGGGCTTGAACTTTGGATCCTCCAGCCTTCTACTTCCTGAGTGTTGAGATTACAGGTGTGAGACACCTCACCTAGTTCATGCAGTACCGGGGATGGAACCCAGGGCTTTGTGTATGCTAGGTAAACATCACATTGAAGGCTGGATTGTATGCTAGGTAAGCATCACAGTGAAGGCTGGATTGTATGCTAGGTAAGCATCACATTGAAGGCTGGATTGTATGCTAGGTAAGCATCACATTGAAGGCTGGATTGTATGCTAGGTAAGCATCACAGTGAAGGCTGGATTGTATGCTAGGTAAGCATCACAGTGAAGGCTGGATTGTATGCTAGGTAAGCACCACAGTGGAGGTTGGATTATAAGCACGTGTGAAATTCTTAAACAAGAAAAATAAAATATAAAAAGAAGGCCAATAAAAGCAGACAGAATTTACCATGAGCAACAGCCCTAATGACACAACTAAAGGATCTCTTACCTCAGTTCAGCTAAGCTAGAAATCAATAGCTGAAAAGTCATATGGCTGGAAACCACAGCATAGACTTCTGCATAACCATAGGTCAAATATAAAATTACAAAATAAATTAGAAATTTTCCCTGAACTCAATTAAGAAAAAATACTTTGTACCCAACTTTGTACCAGTTAATATCAAGCCCGGCATAAGGGCTGGAGAGATGGCTCAGTGGTTAAGAGCACTGGCTGCTCTTACAGAGGACCTGGGTTCGATTCCCAGCACCCACATGGCAGCTAATAACTGTCTGTAACTCCAGTTCCAGGGAATCTGATGCCCTCTTCTGATGTCCACAGGCACAGATGCACTTACATACATGGCATACAATATAGTCATGCACATAAAATAAAAATAATAAATAAAATATATTAAAGGCCTGGAATGAAACTTATACCCTTAAATGCAAGTATTTAAAAAATCAAAAAGTTGAAGTTCAATTACTATAAGTACATACAAGATAAGTTAGAAAAAATTCAAAAGCCCAAAGAAAGTATATAGAAATAAAATAAAATGAGAAATGAATAAAAATGAGAATATAAACTACAAAGATTTAGTTATGCCAAGAGTTTGAAAAGTCCAATAAAATTGAGGGACTCGGGGCAACAAGCATCAAGGAGTGAAGGAAAAAGAGCAAAGTATAAATGATTAATCCTGGAGCTGATGCACAGGTACAGATGAAAAGAGACTAAAGAGAAGGCCATGAACGAGATTATGCCAAGAAATGTGAAAAGCTAAATGAGCACCACATGTGGCTGCCCACATTTTAAACCCCAGCACTTGGAAGGCAGAGGCAGGTGGAGCTCTATGAGTTCAAAGCCAGCATGGTCTACATATCGGTCTACATATCAAGTTCCAGCCAGAGCTACATAGTGAGACTCTATCTCAAAAACAAAAAACAAAAAACAAAAAACAAGGAAAGTTAAGTGAAATATATAGACAAATTCTTAGAAAACTTATTACTACTGGCAATAGAAAAATAGAATATAAAGTTCATGATTAAGGGCCAGTAAGATGGCTCAGCAAGGAAAGGCGCTTGCTGCCAAGTCTGAAAACCAGAGTTCAATCCCTGGGACCCACAAGGTGGAAAGAAAGAATCAACTTCCACAAATTGTTCTCTGACCTCTATACACACTTCCACAAACACAAAATAAATATAATTTTTTAAAAAGATCCACGGTTAATCCATAACTCAAAGGCTTCTTTTTCGTACATGTGTCTGTGTGTGGTGTGTATATGTATGTTCATCTTCACATGTATGGGGGTGCATGTGTGTGAGGATGTATGTGCACATGTGCATGTGGAAGCAAAAGCTTGACATCAGATGCCTTCCTTGATTGTTCTCCACCTCATGTACTGAGGCAGAGTCTCCCACTTGCACTCAGACCTTGCTGAGTCAGCTAAGCTAGCTGGCCCTTTTGCTCTGGAGATCCCATCTCTGCGTCTCTGAGCACCAGGATTACAAGCAGTCTGCCATGCCCAACCTGGCATTTATATGGGTACTGGGAATCTGAACTCAATCCTAATGCTTATACAACTAGTGCTTTATCCACATCCACTGATCCATTCCCCCAGCCCCCATTACTTAAAACCTTCTAATACAAGTCAGGGATGCTGGCACTCACCTGTAATTCCAGCACTCAAGAGGCAGAGGTAGGAGGATCATAAGGTCCAGGCCAGCCTGGGCTGTATAGCGAGAACCTGTCTCAAGAAAAGATTAATCTCATCTTTTGCTTACGGACGAGAAGATGACCACCTGAAGGCTTACTGCAGTGTGAGTGGATTCCCTTACCTGGCCCACTCTTGGGAGGTTGTGTTTTTGAGCCACAGGCTGTCGCGCTATTCAGAGAAGCTTGAATAGCCTTTCTCTCTGACTCCTTCCCACCCCATTCACCTGCCCGCTGGCTCTGCCCCATCAGGCAGGAGGGGATTACCTCGGACAGGTAGGACATCCACCCACTCTCACTGTCAGGCCTTCTGGAGTAAGAGTTATAGAAGACGACATCCTTTACCAGTACAACCAGCGCTTTCAGGATGAACGAAGCAAACAAGTTCATGTGGATGTAATTGCGTGTGCAGTGTAGTTTTCTGTGCAAAGAGAAAATTAATTGTCTTCTGTGAAGAAAGAATAGCTGAGACCCACAGGTGCAGGCCTGACCTACTATGCATCTGTCAGTGGAGACAGAAGTGCATAGTGCAGGCTCGAGAGCCAGGCTGCTGGTCTGTGCGCTCGCTCTTCTCCAGGCCTTAGTCTCCTCATTTATAGAAAGGGGGCAACGATCATTATATCCAGATAAATGCTCAACATGCCAGGCCATGTCCAGGACATTCACATGATCAGGGACTTGTGGCATCCTCATCTTTTACTGCCACAGGAAGAGTGGGCACTCTTGTTACCCTGATTTTATAAATGGCGCAAGTCCCTGTGCAGTAAGGAGTGGAGCTGAGATTCAGACTCAGAAACTCTGAGGCCAGGGTCTGACTCTCCAAGGCTCAGCTGCGTTTAAGAACTGAGTATTTATCCCAGAGGCTTGGGAGGATCACATCTATTAATTCATGTAAAATGCATGTAATGAGTGCCCAGGAAAGGTCAGTTCTCATTACTTGTCCCAGGAGTCTCTACTAGCTCTTCAACATTCAGACTGTTGGGACATTATATATCCCCGGCCTCTCTAGCCAAAAGTGCCATTTTTTTTTCTTTTTTAACAGAGCATAGGGTAGTGGTTTGTTTACAGAAGAGTGGGTGCCCCACATTTATGACTGTGCCATAAAGGCCACACATTTTCTACCACTGTGCTTTCTACACAGCACCCCCCTCATCCTGCTTGCTTTCTAGCTATTATAGCTTTGGTAACTTCCAATATGGACTTGAGGCAGACCCTTGTATTTCATGATGCTTCTCCCTGACCAGACTAGGGGCTATTTGAGGGCAGCAGGCTATGGCAAAATAGACACTCTGTCGAGCCAGGCTCTGTGGAATTTACTTCATGCTGGGATAGGCAACTATATTCTCTTGGCTCAGGCTTGGCACTTTAGAAAGGTATATGGGTGAAGGAAGGGTTTGATGTATAGCCCGTGAGCACAAGTGGAACTCGCCATAGCTCAAGATAGTTCTCCAATGGGGTAGATGTCAAGGCTCCTCCTGGAGCCATGGAAGAGCCTGGGATTAGAAAGACAAATGAAGCCAGGCCTGGAGCCAGTAGAGCCTAGTCTCCAGGGTCTCCATCCAGGCCTCCAGCAACAGTATTGAATTCTCAATCCACCACATTATGCTCACCAGCACTCCTGATCTATAATTGTCTCACTTGGGCGATGCCTAAAAATGGGGTTTAGGAAACTACACTGAGGTTTTGGATTCTGAAATAGTGCAATGGACTGATTGGTTGGAGTTCTGGCTCTGTCACCCAGCAGCTATTTAGTGTTGGGTGAATCTTTTCTTCTCTCCATATTTCAGTTAACTCACTTATAAAATTAGGCAATAGTAACACTGAACTTCTAGAATTAGAATTAATCTTAAGTCAAAGTATGAAGAGAATTAAATGACACTGCATGTGAAGTAGAAGAAGGAAAGCACTTCTAAGAGCCAACCAGGGCCCAAGGCCTCTGGTCAAAATCCCAGTTCTACCACTCACTTGCCTTGGGGGACATTACCCTTCTGAGCACATGATATCTTTAGCTGAGCTGTGGTGAGACTGGGTTGTGGCAGTAAAGGGTGTGATTAAGAATTTAGGCACACATCTAATCCCCAAATGGGAAAGGCAGCATTGGGAGTCATAGAATCAAGCTCTGTCTCTGCATCCGCCTGGCTTTCCCACCAGTAGCAACTCAATGCCCCTCACTGGAACTTACATGGACCTTTCTGTCCTCTCATCTGCAAAATGGGATGGAAGCATTCAAGAATCTCAAGCTTCTGGTTTTGATGACCCTTGACATCATCCAACAGAGTTTTCTACTGCCTTCTAGTCATAGCCAGTGAGCAAATTACATATCACATACCTGATCACATGCCTGTGGATCTACTCACCGAAGAAACAAGAAGAGTGTGAGAGCCAGGAAGAGGGAAATAAGAGAGAGGGAGTATCCCACAGTGTATATCAGCTGCAAGGTGGACAGCAAGGCGTAGTGATCCACCTGCACACAGAAAGAGCAGACATGAGCACCAAGACACAGCCTGTACCCACTACCCCCATCCCCATGGCAACTCAGAACTACATGTTATCTACAAGACATTGACTTTAAATATAAAACCTCAGGGTAAAATGTACAAGAAAAAAAAGATATAGAGGCTGGAAAGATGGATCAGCAGTTGAGAGCACTTACAACTCTTGCAATGGGCCCGGGTTCGATTCCCAGCACCTATCACTATATTACCTGTTAAAAGGTAAAATCAAAGGGGAAAGGATGAAAAGACAAACATCTAATACTAATAGAAATGTCCAAACAAAACTGTGTCTCCAGCTAATAAGAGAACTATGCAGGGAGAATAATTATTTTTAACAATTATTAACACAATAAAAGACCTGTAAAGAAATCTTAACATTTACCAATTGGGTTATAGTTTTACTAGTAATACTACTAGCTTTAAATCTTTTGATTTACTTATTTTTATTTTACATGTATGAGTGTTTTGCCTACATGTGTGTAATTGTACCATGGGCATTTCAGTGCCCACAGAGGCCAGAAGATGGTGTCAGATTCCACGGAACTGGAGTCACAGGTAGTTAGCCACCATGTGGGAGGGTGCTGGGAGCTGAACCCAGGTCCTCTGCAAGAGCAATCAGTACTCTTAACCACTGAGCCATATCTCTAGCCCCTAATATTACTATTGTAATTTTCAAACCATTTAGAATGTATTATAAGAAAAAGATGGGTAAATATTATAATGTCTTAAGAAATAAGATTTTGAGCTGAGTGTGGTGGCATAGGCCTTTAATCCCAGCACTGAGGAGGAAGAGGCAGACAGATCTCTGTGAGTTCAAGACCAGCCTGGTCTACATAGTGAGTTCCAGGCCAGCTGGTATTACAGGGAGACCCTGTCTCAAAAAGATGAAAAAGATAAAAGATGATGGGGCTGGAGAGATGGCTCAGCGGTTAAGAGCACTGACTGCTCTTGCAGAGGACCCGGGTTTGATTCTCAGCACCCACACGATGGCTATGAACCATCCTTAACTCCAGTTCCAGGGGATTCCAATGCCCTCTTCCGACCTCCATGGCATTGCACGACATGGGTGTACTCACATACATGCAGGCAATACACTCATACACATAAAATAAAAATAAATAGAAACAAATTTTAAATAAAAAAGATAAAAGATGCATAAATGCAAAGTAAAAGAAGGTATTAGGGTTGGGTTGGAGAGATGCCTCAATGGTTAAGAACACTGGTTGCTCTTGCAGAGGACCTGGGTTCAGTTCCCAGCACCCACGTGGTGGCTAATAAGTATCTGTAACTCTAGTTCCAGGGGTCCAATGCCCTCTTTTGACCTCAGTGGGCATTGTACAACATTGGTGCACTTACACACATACAGAGAGTATACTCATACACATAATAAAAAAGAAGGTAAGCAAAAATTTTAATTGTTAAGTCAGAAGTTTTGATTATGTGTGTACATACAATGTGTGTATATGTGTGTTTGTACATGTGTGAGTTCATATTGGTGTTGAGAGAAAAAAATGTTTTTAAAAAAATTAATGGGGCTGGGGTGGTGACTCAGCTGGTAAAAGCTGTGTAAGCACGAGGACCTGGATTCAAATCCCCAGAACCCACATAAAAGCAGGATACATAATGCAAGCATCTGTAATTCTAGTGTTCCTATAAGGCAATGGGAGGCAGAGACAGGAGAACACTCAGTGCAGGTGTGGAGGCCAGAGGACAACCTAAGGTGTCAGTGCTCGCCTTTCATCTCATTTGTGATAGGATTTCTTAGTTGTTTTTCTGCTTTATGTAGCAGGAGAGTTGGTCCTCAAACTTCTGGGGATATTCCCATCTCCAAGTCCCACATCGCCACAGGCGCACTGGGTTTGCAGAGCTCTTTCTGCTCAGGTACTCCCACCTCCACATCCCACATCACCACAGGAGCACTGGGCTTGCAGAGCTCTTCCTGCTGGGGCACTCCCATCTCCACATCCCACATCGCCACAGGAGCACTGGGCTTGCAGAGCTCTCACTGCTGTGTCCAGCTTTTACATAGGTTTTCTGGATTTGAACTCAGGTCCTTATTCTTGCACAACAAGTACTTTCATCCACTGAACCAGCAGTTTACTAAACCCCATTTTTAAGCATTGCCTAAGTGAGACAATTGTAGATCCACTACAGAGCCTGACAAGGCTGTCCCTCCCTCAGGATCTTTGGTGATTATATAAATAATTCCCCCTCAACAATATGCAGTGGTAATAGTGATGAGCACATCTAGCACTTAGATCTGCATTCAACACTTTCTTCCTCCTAAAGGTCCCGAGACTTCTGGGAGCAGCCTCAATTCTAAGCCTGAAGCAGGGAAAATCCAAAATGAGCTTAGACCAGGTGGTACCAGAAAGCAGAGAAGTGCTGAAAGACTGAGATTCTGACAAAAACACACAAGAGCCAGATGGAAGGGATTTCACCCAGAAAGCTTTGAACATCAAAAAGAAGAATGAGGGGCTGGAGAGATGGCTCAGCAGTTAAGATCACTGGCTGCTCTTGCAGAGGAACCAGGTTTGGTTTCCAGCACCCACATGGTGGCTCACAACTATCTGTAGCTACAGTTCCAGGAAAATCCAATGTCTTCTTCTGGCCTCCATGAGCACTGGACACACATGGTATACCTGTATACAAACACTTATACACATAAAGTAAGCAAAAAGTCTTTTAAAAGTAGTTAATATAACCAAATAAAACAATCTGTAATTCCATAAGGATAGCCACAATAGGAGGTGAATGTAAGAGGTCTTCATGGAAGAAAGTCAGCTGGTAAATGTAGAAGAAAAAAATGGAATCTAACTGATCAGGCAAGCATCTTCAATAAAGCCTGTGTGGTGGTTTGAATGAGAATGTCTCCCATAGACTTCTAGTATTTGGACATTTTGTCTCCAATTGGTGGTGCTGTTTTGGGAGGTCTTAGAAGGTGTGGCCATGCTGGAGGAAGCTCATCACCGGAGGAGGGTTTAGAGAGTTCTTAAGCCTTGCTGGATCTCAGTCACTCTCTGCTTCCTGTGCCTGCTTGAAGATGTGAGCCTCTGCCTCCTGCTCCTGCTCTGGCCACCTCCTGCCACCATGACTCCCCACCATGATGGGTTCTAATTCTCCTGGAACCGTAAACACAGGTAAACTCTTCCTTTTATAATAAGATGATGCTACACAGCAGTCCCTTCTGCATGAAATAACTACCATCATCACGACTTCAACTGAGCCTGATTGCTAAACATAGTCACAACTGGGCTTGCTGACAGTTGTGTTCATTCATTAAAGGAATGCCAAGCAGGGCCACTGGACCCTCACCTGAGTATCCAGCCACTCTTCTCAGCCAACTAGTCCAGCCTTGGAAGACAAAAGAAAAATGAGGAAGAACCCAATAGAGGGATGCTTTTGGAATCCCTTGTCAAGAAACCCCAATGGACTCTCATATGAACATTTGAAAATTGCCCTGTTCTGACTTTTTT